ATGAGTGAAACTCCGTCTCAAAAAAAAAAAAAAAAAGAGAATCAACAGTGATATTACATAATAGACACACAGAAATGAGGCCGGGCATGGTGGCTCATGCCTGTAATCCCAGTACTTTGGGAGGCCGAGGCAGTTGGATCACAAGGTCAAGAGATCAAGACCATCCTGGCCAACATGGTGAAACCCTGTCTTTACTAAAAATACAAAAATTTACCTGGGCGTGGTGGCACACGCCTGTAGTTCCAGCTACTCAGGAGGCTGAAGCAGGAGGATTGGTTGAACCCGGGCGGCGGAGGTTGCGGTGAGCCAAGATCGCCCCACTGCACTCCAGCCTGGCGACAGAGCGAGACTCTGTCTCAAAAAACAAACAAATGAAAAAACTAGAAACACACATAAATGAAACACACATAGACCAAGGTTCCATGTATATTGGTTGATGAAAATGTTGTGACTAGGGGCTTGAGAGCTTAACACTGTGCTCCACTAGGAGCGATGCTTCAGGATTGGCTAGTTGGTGTGTTCATGGTGACTTTCTGGAACTTCACTACTGTGAATAAGGAGACCTAGCTGTATCCCCTGGCACCAGCCCTGGGCTGGCCCCACTGCAGCAGGGAACAAGACACGTGCAGTCCCCTCCTTTGTGGAGCTTTACGTCCAGCACAGGAGTTGAGGGCTCGATCCAGTAATCCTGGAGGCAGAGATCTCGCTTAAAGCAGCCCGGCTCTGTGGAAGAGTGCCGTTGGGGGGGCTGACACCGTTGTGGAAGGCTTCGCCATCAGAGGGTGATGTCATCAGGTGACAGGAGGCACGAGCTAAAGGTTAAGTGGTGTTTGGCCCAGTGAGTGAGTGGTGGTGTGAGGTGGGAGTGTTTCCAGCAGAGGGAATGAAGAGGGAACATCACCCTGACAGCCCCTCTTTCTGCCTCATCCACAGGATCCGGGGCACCAGCTACCAGAGCCCCCATGGCATCCCCATTGACCTGCTGGACCGGCTGCTCATCGTCTCCACCTCCCCCTACAGCGAGAAAGACACGAAGCAGATCCTCCGCATCCGGTGCGGGCAGGACCAGGCCGTGTGCCTGAGAGGGAGGGCTGGGGGCCACCCTGTGGGACAAATGCTGACACTGAGGTCTGGGGGGTGGCATGGTTGCTGGGCCTGCAAGAGAGAGGGCCAAATGGCCACCAATTTGAGGGCAGGTGCCACTGTGTGGAAGGGAGGTGAGATGCTGTGACTGGTGTGGGGGTCAGCACTCTGGGTGGGGTCAGGAGCCCTAGGTTCCAGCGCAGCCCCTGTCTCCATAGCTCTCCCAGCCTCAGCATTCTGTGATTCTAAGATGCAGGCACCACATATTCCCAGGGGGGAAGGGCCAGAGGGTGGCTTCGGCCACTCCTGTTGTAGTCAGAGACCAGGCCTGGCTAAGCCATCCCACCCCCACTGCCTGCAGGTGTGAGGAGGAAGATGTGGAGATGAGTGAGGACGCCTACACAGTGCTGACCCGCATCGGGCTGGAGACGTCACTGCGCTATGCCATCCAGCTCATCACCGCTGCCAGCCTGGTGTGCCGGAAACGCAAGGTCAGCCGGCCGAATTCGCCAGCAGGGCCAGATGGCCGGCGGGAGCGAGTGATGCACTATTTCAAGGGCTTCCAGGGGGTTCCGTGTTTCATCCTAGAATGTACATTTTCAGGGGCAGGGAATTTTCATTCCTCAGGTTGATTTCTGCATCACCTGGCCTAGCCTATTGTAGGTGCTCAGTAAGACCAGGTGCAATGGCTCACGTCTGTAATCCCAGCACTTTGGGAGGCCAAGGCGGGCGCATCACCTGAGGTCAGGAATTCAAGACTAGCCTGGCCAACATGGAGAAACCCCGTCTCTCCTGAAAATACAAAAAATTAGCCTGGAGGCCGTGTGGGTGGTGGCATGTGCCTATAATCCCAGCTACTCGAGGGGCTGAGGCAGGAGAATCACTTGAACCAGGGAGGCGGAGGGTTCAGTGAGATCGTGCCATTGCACTCTAGCCTGGGCAATAAGAGCAAAACTTCATGTCAAAAAAAAAAAAAAAGTAGGTGCTCATTTAAATCTCTGTTGACTGTAAGTAGATGCTGTTAGGTCCATCTTACAAATAAAGAAACAGAGGAGGCCGGGCGTGGTGGTGGCTCATGCCTGTAATCCCAGCACTTTGGGAGGCCAAGGCAGGCAAATCTTGAGGTCTAGAGTTCCAGACCAGCCTGGCTAATGCGATGATACCCTGTCTCTACTAAAAATACAAAAAATTAGCCAGGTCTGGTTGCATGTGCCTGTAGTCCCAGCTACTCAGGAGGCCGAGGCAGGAGAATTGCTTGAATCTGGGAGGTGGAGGTTGCAGTAAGCCAAGATGGTTCCACTGCACTCCAGCCTGGGCATGATTCAAGACTCCATCTCAAAAAAGAAAAAAACTGAGGAATGAAGAGGCTGGGCCCACACCCAGTGGATAGCCAGGCAGGATTTTAACACAGGCAGTCTGGCCCCGAATGCCTTCCCTCACCTGCTACCCGCTACTGCCTGGGGCTGGAGGCGGCACAGTCTGGGGTCTGTGCTGTGGGCCTCACGAGGAGGATCCCCACTGAGGACTTGCCCCCCTCTAGGGCACAGAGGTGCAGGTGGACGACGTCAAGCGGGTCTACTCACTCTTCCTGGACGAGTCCCGCTCCACGCAGTACATGAAGGAGTACCAGGACGCCTTCCTCTTCAATGAGCTCAGTAAGCATCCCCACCCCGTACCTGCACTGCCAGTGCGACCCCCAGAGGGAGGAAGAGGGAGCTCGGCCTAGAAGGCTCAGGCCCTGCCCTCTGGGCCACACTGACCATCTGGCCTTCTTTCTCCCTATAGAAGGCGAGACCATGGATACCTCCTGAGCTGGATGTCACCCCCGTCCCCATCCTGTTTTCTACCAGAGTTCTGACACTGTGACTTTGTATAAAGTTGTTTTGAAGCTGGACCCACCCTGTGTGTGTGTGTGGTTGCCCTGATTCCAGAGAAAGACACCACCAGAGTGCGGATTGAGAAGCCTTTATTGTGAGACTAATGGAGTGTCTGCTGGCTGCAGGAGTTGGGATGGACTTGTAAGGTTGCTGGGAGGGTCCTTAGAGGAAGAGTCCTGGAGGGTAGGGTGGTAACAGCCCAGGGACTCGTTCCTGAAACTCCCGCAGTCAGAATAGCTTCGGCGGCAGAGTCCACAGCGACAGCTGACAGCCATGGGCAAGTAGACCACCGGATCCACGCCGGGCAGACAGCCAGGGAGCCGGACGGAGGTGTAGCGCAGCGCATTGTAGTTGCACACCGACTGGGGTAAGGCCGGCATAGTCGGCACCACCCGCATCTGAGGCCATGTGGGTGGAGAAGTGGGCATGTGTCTGGGGGCCAGCACCTCAGCTGAGCACCCCAGCTCCCTCCGCAGGTCCCAGACTCAGATGTCCAGGAAGCCCTCTGTTCCTGCCCTCCAGCCCCATTTCCAGCCCCTGCCCGGAGAGCCAGACACCCTTCCCCACTGCCTCTGCGGGCCCCACCCTGAAGTGGCAGCACCTGCCCCTGGTCCCAGGCAGCTCACCATGCTGTGGCAGTAGCCAGCACAGATGGTGGTGTTGAAGGCAGTGCACACGGGGCAGCCCTCCTTCTCAACAGCCAGCATGACATTGGTGGGGCGGCACAGCGGCAGAAGTGGCTCCTTGGATGCCCATGCCCCACCTGTGCTCAGCAGCAGACACAGCAGCAGCCCCTGGGACAAGACCGGTGCTTCAGCCTGGCCTGAGACTGAAGCCCTAAGCCTTGGCCCATCCCCAGGGGTACACCACCCTCAAGGACCCAGGGACCCTGCCTGGCATGTCTTATTCAGGACCTGCCACCCAGACACCTGCCTTCCAAAGCCCACCCCACAGCCCAGAGGACCTGAGATGTCCTAACATTTCAGTTCCCCACCCTCAGGGACTTCTCCACCTGAAGCTTACTGCGGGGTCACACCCCTCCAGAAAAAGGCCTCCTTCCCCAGCTCACACGACTCTGCCCCTCTTCATGCCAGTGATGGCCTGGAGGGAGGTGGAAGGTACCCAGGGGCCCTGCAGTCTTACCTGGAGCATCTCCATCCTTGGTTCCTCCCCTGCCTCGTGTACCTGGCTTTATACCTCGGGGTTGTGGGGGCGACAAGGCCACCAGGTGGTGGTAGCATCCTGGGGTAACCTGGATACTAATCCCCCCGGGGGCGGGAGGCAGACAAGGCCAGGGAGACGCAGCAGTGGCTCAGTGGAGCGCTCCAGCGCCAGGGGTGAGGCGGAGACCACGGTGAAGTGACCTCAGAGACTCAGTCGAGTCGGCGTTGGAGGCACAGGAAGTAGGGTACAGAAAGGCCTTGCCCTGTCTCTTCCTGGGGCGGGGAAGCCAGGAGGAGGCCGTGACCCAAGAAAGGTGCTAGACTGAATCGTCAACCCACCTTCACCAGAGCCATTCCTGCGCCGCAGTCCAGATTCTCAGGAGCGCCGCCGCTTCGGTGTAGCTTCTACACCTGTTCGGTGTCCAACAGGGCCTCCGCGAGACTGCTGCGAGGGGAGCCGCTGGACCCAGATACTCACCAACGAGGGATTCAGCCGGAGCCCCACTTCTCCCTTAGGAACCTTCTCCCACACCACTCTCAAGCCAGGATGCCCAGAAATGAGCGTGGTTCAGGTTATTTAACTCATTATTTAAAACACCCGCAGGGGGCGTGTCCTGCCCGCGGGGCCACAACCTGCATGAACATTTTCTGGACTTAGCCCCCTCCCCACGAAGCCGCGGGGCGTGTCTGGGCTAGTCCCGCCGACACATTGCCGATAGTGAGTGTGACCCAGGCTCGGTCGAGACCCCGTGTAGTGGGCGGAGCTCCCGAGCTCGGCCCCACCCAGCGAGCCCGGATCCGGGTCTTCCCGGGTCGGCTCCGCCCCTCTGTCCAGGGGGCGTGTCCGGGGCGGGGCTTGCCGGGCCAGCTCACACCAGCGCCGGCTTTAAGCTGCCGTAGCTGGAGTTCTCGGCGCTGTAGGCTTTCGGCACGCTGTGGATGCCCGGCAGGGGTTTCCAGTGGGGGCCGCTCCAGGGCGCCTCCAGCAGGCAGAAGCGGTCGAGCGGGCGGAGCGGGTGCAGCGGGAGACTGTAGGACTCCTGAGCCAGAGACAAGGCCCCGCGGTGCGGCACGGCCAGAGTCACCGGGCGGGCGCGGGGCACGCGGACCCGTGGCGGTCGGGGCGGCTGCTGCGGTCCGTGCCCCGAGACCTGGGGCATCTCTTCGAAGCTCCAGTAGGTCAGGGAGTCTTTGCGGGGGTATCCCGACAGCTCCTTCCTGTGGGAGCATGGCAGGACGGTAAGGATACAGCTAGATCCTTGGGGACGAGGTTCAGACCCCGGGACCTAAGGAGTCTGCACACAGACTCCTGCATTTCGAGGCTAGGACCCCTTAGGAAGGACGGGGCCGGGCACGTGTAGCCTGGGTTCCTGGGTCCTCGAGGTAACTTAAGGTCCTGGAAAATGAGCTTTCCCATCCTAGGGAAGGAAACGGGGGCTTTCGCTTCCTTGGGAAGGAGTGTCTGGGGCTCAAGTACCGAAGGAGGCCCTGCCCTCTGATGCAGAATCCCCTCTGTCCCTACCGCGGTTCCTGAGAGTTGACATTAAAGACTCCTGGCTGCTAAAAGAGGGAGGGGCGGCCGGGCGCGGTGGCTTACGCCTGTAATCCCTCCGCTTTGGGAGGCTGAGGCGGGCGGATCACGAGGTCAGGAGATCGAGACTATCCTGGCTAACACGGTGAAACCCCCATCTCTACTAAAAATACAAAAAGTTGGCCAGGCGCCTTGGCTCACGCCTGTAATCTCAGTACGGAGGCCGAGGCGGGCGGATCACGAGGTCAGGAGTTCGAGATCATCCTGGCCAATATGGTGAAACCCCATCTCTACTAAAAATACAAAAATTAGCCGGGCGTGGTGGCGCGCGCCTGTAGTCCCAGGTACTCGGGAGGCTGAGGCAGGAGAATCGCTTGAATCCGGGAGATGGAAGTTGTAGTGAACCGGGATCCAGCCGCTGCACTCCAGCCCAGGTGACAGAGGGAGACTCCGTCTCGAAAAAAAAAAAAAAAAAAAAAGAGGGGCTGGGGCCTGAATTTTGGTTCTTGCTGGTGCAGGAGTCGAGGCTGAGGCTACCGAGTCAGAGAATGGGAGCCACACCAGGGGCTTGGCGTGCACTGGTCTAGGCGGGGGCTGTGCCGGAGACGGTGTCCAGCGAAGGCCTGGCTTACTTGGGATAAAACCGAAAGTCCCGCGCCGAGGTGGTCAGATAGAGCTGCCGGCGGGCCAGGACGCCCCGGTCGGATACTATGAAAGGCCAGCCAGACAGCTCAGGGTTCTTCGTCCAGGGAATTAGAGCCTGAGGAAGATTGGGGAAGGAGGCATACCCAAGACAGAGTTTGTATCTCGTTCCAAGACCTGGGTCCTGCCGGCCCCAGCCCTCGCAGCCTGCCCCAGAGGCAGAGCCCTTTCTGCCACTCACGCCAGGTCACTAAAGCTTTCTTCCTCAAACCCGCCCTTCCCAGCCTCATCTCCCCAAATCCAAACACGTCCTGCTGGTCAAGGAACTCAAACCCATCCCCCCAGCCACCAAATAAACCTCCCTGGTTCCGCCCCCGGCCCCAAGCTTTCTTGGTGTGGCCGCTGGAGCTGAGCCGCATCTGGGGCAAAAACTCCACGTTACCTCTCCCAACTCCCACCCGACCCCGTCTCAGAATATTCTAGTCTCGTCCCCATCCACAGCCCACCGCCTAGCTTCGCCACAGCTTCGGAGACCAGAAGGCGAGTTTCCAGCTCACTGGTCCTTCTGGCCACGCCCCAAAGCCGTGATTCCTTCTGGCCCCGCCCCAGGTTCCCCAAGCTCCGCCCCGTCTCGCCGGCGCAGGCCTTCATCCAGCCACCTGGGAAGGCCCCCCTCGGTGATGGTCTGCGAGCTGCGGGGGCTGGAGCCCGACGTATTCCGGGGCGCGTGGGTCCCGGCCGGGATAGCCCGTGTACTGCGCCTTCGTCTCGCTGCTCTGGTACTTTGTGGTCAGTGGGAGGCGCCAGCCGCGGTGTCTGAGCTGCAGAGAGGTGAGCAGGAGACCCAAGTGAAGGCGCAGGGGACTGAAATGCAGCCTCCTGCCTATCCCCTGCGGACTCCGGCACCCCCCAAACCTTACCTTTTCTCCTAAATCCTTGATCCCCACAGTCCGCGTGGGGTCTGCAGGCTCTGGGGCTCTGGGTTGGGCGCAGGGCCCGCCATGGGTCTTGGGCACGTAGGCTGAGCCAGAGGTTGTCTCCCATCTGCTGAGGACCTCGTCGAAAGCCCAGATGCGCGAATCCTGCTTTGCAGCCGGGGGTAGAGGGTCCCCGACCGTGGACTGGAGAGAAGGTGCTGCACATCAGCTAGGAAGGCTCAGGAGTCCGTGTCACCCTCCACCCCAAACTCTGACCTCTTCCAGTTGGCCCCCAATCCCCTTTACTCAGCACCCAGCTTTCTAGGTCCTCAGGCCCCGCAGGGCTTCAGCCTAGAGTCCGCGCACCTGCACCGTCGGCGGGGGGAAGGGCGCGGGTGGGATGATGCGGTGGGCAACCCAGCTGCTGGTGAGATTCCAGTTGGGCCCGGATCCAGGCACCTCGGTGGCAGAGATGGGAGGCCACGGGGGGCCACAGCACGGAGCCCGGGTGCCACTGGCCATGGTTCCACCCCCATCCCGGAGCCAAGCAGGAGCTGGCTTGTTGTTGCTGTTGCCCCGGGTGACAGAACCCGCTCACCCTGAACCCAGCCAATGAAGGGCCTGCAGGCATGTGGATGGGAAGAGTGAGAAAGAGACCCAGAGACGAGGGACTGGGACCCCAGGAGGGCCACAGAACAACACGGGGAGGGAGATGGAGACTCAAGGCGAGGAGGGCAGAACGGGAAGGAGTTCAGAATTTCAAAGACCCAGGGGGTGGAGGAGACAAGAGACCCAGAAAGAGGGACAGAGACCCCTGCACTGCACCCAGCACATCCGGGCATCCATGAGAAACACCCCCTCCCTCTCCTCCAGGGTTCAGATGCTCCGTGCTGCTTCCTCCCTCTGCCAGGCCTACCCACCTCGAGGTAACGATTTCCAGACATCCTGGGGCTCCCCCACCCTCCCCGCACGTGCTGAAGGAGTCAGGCTGGCGTCCGCTCTCCTGCCTGCCTTTGATTTGGTTGAAAACTTCCACCTGGGTAGGCAGGGTGGGCAAAGATGGAGAGACCCACGGAGAAGTGCACAGGGACATAGCAAAAAAGAGGGGTGTGTGGAAAGAGCTTTGATGAGTGAGAAAGAAATACAACAAGAAAGAGGAGAGACAGTGAGGAAGAAACTGACCATGATGGAAAGAAAGCTATTAATACTAATCCAGAGGCAGAGACACTGGGAGTTAGGCAGAGATGAAGGTGGCAAAAAAGAGCAAAATCACAGATGGAAAAGGAAGAGATGTAGAAACCGAGGCAGCCAGGCCCCACCCCACCCCGGGGCCTGGTCCGTGTAGATCGGGGGAGGGGATGCCTATGTCCTTTGTTCAAAGCTGGATGCTGGACCAGAGAGAGAGAGTGAGAGAGAGTGTGTGTGTGTGTGTGTGTGTGTGTGTGTGTGTGTTGGCAACACGTGGGGCATGTGGTCTGTCCCTGGCTTCCCTTGTCACTTCTTCACTATAAAGAGCTTTTGGTCATTGTGTGCAGTGGCTCACGCCTGTAATCCCAGCACTTTGGGAGGCTGAGGCAGGCAGATCACTTGAGGTCAGCAGTTTGAGACCAGCCCGGCCAACATGGCAAAACCCTGCCTCTACCAAAAAAATACAAAAATTAGCCAGGCATGGTGGCACACCCCTGTAATCCCAACTAAGGCAGGAGAATTGCTTGACCTGGGAGGTGAACGATTCAGTGAGCTCA